TTTAGTTTTGCTGAGTTAAATTCTCAAACATGTAAGGCACTAATAAGATGAACGTATCACGAAATTTGAATAAACCACGTCGCATATATGGGGGCGAATATCCTAAAGGGGGTCGATATTCCTATGGTTGGGGAGGGGGGCGAATCTCCTTGAGGGGGGAAGTCCTATGACAACGGCATGGGCAAATAGCACTACCTATTTAACAATTCTATCTTGTCCCCCCTCCCCAAAAAAAAATATGAGTTTGCCCCTCAAATCCCCACAACCCCATTTTCAATTTCATGTGAATCCTTTCACATGTGAAATTTCATTGTAATTTTTAATTTCATGTGAAACCTTTCACATGTGAAATTTCATTGTAATTTTTAATTTCATGTGAAACCTTTCACATGTGAAATTCCAGTCGTAATTTCATGTGAAATCCTTTCACGTACATGCGAAATTTCACTTTGTAATTTGTAATGTTATGTGAAATCCTTATCTTTTCACATGTGAAATTTAACTTGTAATTTTTTCATGTGAAATCTTTTCACATATGTGAAATTTCACTTGTACATGTAATTTGTAATTTCATGAGAAATCCTTTCACATGTGAAATTTCAGTCTAAATTTCATGTGAAATCCTTTCACGTACGTACATGTGAAATTTCACTTTGTAATTTGTAATTCATGTGAAATTGTCATCTTTTCACATGTGAAATTTCAGTCGTAATTTCATGTGAAATCCTGTCACATACATGTGAAATTTCACTTTGTAATTTGTAATTCATGTGAAATCCTTATCTTTTCACATGTGAAATTTCACTTGTAATTTAATGTGAAATCCTTTCACGTACATGTGAAATTTCACTTTGTAATTTGTAATTCATGTGAAATCTTCATCTTTTCACATGTGAAATTTCACTTGTAATTTCATGTGAAATCCTTTCACGTACATGTGAAATTTCACTTTGTCAGTTTGTAACGTTTATGTGAAATTCTTTCACATGTGAAATTTCACTTGTGATTTCATGTGAAATCTTTTCACATGTGAAATGTCACATGCGATTTCATATTTCATGTGAAATTCTTTCACATGTGAAATGTCACATGTAATTTCATGTGAAATACTTTCACATGTGAAATGTCACATGTGATTTCATGTGAAATCATTTCACATGTGAAATGTCACATGTGATTTCATGTGAAATCTTTTCACATGTGAAATGTCACATGTGATTTCATGTGAAATCTTTTCACATGTGAAATGTCACATGTGATTTCATGTGAAATCCTTTCATTTGTGAAATTTCACATGTGATTTCATGTGAAATTTTTTCACATGTTAAATTTCACATAAGATCACATAATTTCTCATGTTATCACATGATTTCACATGAAATCACACGTGTGAATTCATGTGGATTTTTTGTAAGGGTAAGGCCGAAACGGTACCGTCTGTAGTTAGATATCGCTCTATGGCCTTTAGGTCATATTGAGCGCTCTACAGGATAAGCCATGACGCTTACGCATTGCGCACGCTTACTGCTTGCAGTTTGAGCGCTCTGGCATGGTTTTGATGTCCCACAATCGTGAGGCATCAAAGGTAACTGTAAATAGCAGTTACTTTCATCCTGCTCATCAGCACTACACTGATGAGGCCCATAAGGCCGAAACGGTACCGTCTGTAGTTAGATTACGCTCTATGGCCTTTAGGTCATATTGAGCGCTCTACAGGATGAGCCATACCGCTTACGCATTGCGCACGCTCACTGCATGCAGTTTGAGCGCTCTGGCATGGTTTTGATGTCCCACAATCGTGAGGCATCAAA